TCTATTCATGTCTTGGAGATTCTGAATACATATTTGTTCAATGAATGAATGAATGAAATGTCATCACTAAAATTAATGTTAGCTTTCATGCAAAGAGATACCTTATTCATATTACTTTACTACTTATTTAAAACAATCATGAAACTATTCATTTGTTCATCTACCACCTAAAGCCATATTGCCTATTTTTGAATGCCATGGCACGTACTACACTCTAATTAGCACAATTTTCTAGCCTGTAAACTTTATGATCTCTGCTGACCCTGACAGTTTCCATCAGGCATTGGTAGTTGGCCAAAGAACATCCAATCTATAGTTTGATTACTGACCAACCAATTAGTCTGCTTTGAAAATTTGGCCAAAGCAAGCTTTACTACTTAGGCTGAAACCTGCTTTTGGGTAGAATGAAGTAGCTGGCAGCAGACCTTTACTGCTAGCTTTTAAAAATAATATTAGAACATATTGGCTGGGTGTGGTGGCTCATACTTATTGTCTCAGCACTTTGGGAGCCCAAGGCAAGAGGATAGCTTGAATCCAGAAGTTTGATACCAGCCTAGGCACCAAAGCAAGACCCTGTCTCTACAAAATTAGCAAAAATTTTTAGCAAATTTAAAAACATCTTGAATGTCCAATGTTGGAGGATTGGGTAAATACATAATATGAGGTGCTACATAGCCATTTAAATGATGGTTAAACATAGGCTTTTGAAAGATATGCTTTCTATATAATGTGTATTGTTGAGCGAAAGAATCAGACAGCACAATTTTTTATGCAGTATGACATTCATTTTCTCTTTCCATATATATTTGCACAAAGGAAGGAAATACTCCAAAAATTTAATAAGACTTTTTTTTTTCCTGAATGTTGCTAATGAATATTGTAAGAACATTTTCATTATAGGTGGTTTTATTTCTTCCGTATAGCTTTGTAAATATTTTCCAATGAAATGAATTTAATTAGAATGAAAAATCATGTTATTTAGAAACCTTTACACAAAAAGAACATGTTAAAACTTTAGGCATCATTTAAAGCTAATTTATCTTCTTGCATTATATGTGCATTGCATATATAACTATTTATAAAAATATCAAATATAGCTATGCATTATGTACATTTATCTCAAGTAACAGATTAGAATGTGTCATATATATTATGTCTATTCACATACATAACTTCACAGTTTAGTGAATTCTTTGGCAGCTCTTAAGTTGCTATTTCAGTTCAAATTCTAAAGTATGATTTTCCAGTAATCCCTTTAAATGATTGCCAAACATTTTCTTCTCATTCTAAAGAAAGTATGATAAAGGTAAATAAGACCAAGTGCAATTATATCATTTTATTAGAATTAAAAAGTTAAAGTCCAATTGTTTAAAGATCAAACTGTAGAATAATGGGAGCCTCATTTTATAAATTCAAATTTATTCCTTGTTAGAGTATAATGACCTGTTCCCTAACCCCTCATTGCTTTATGCATGCAAAGTTAAAAATTCAAGCTATTACACAGTAAGTCTCTAAGAAGAGTTTATTATAATTCAAATATTAAGGTCTAAGAATGACAATTATCTGGGAAAAAAAGTTTGAAGATGATGTGCAAGAGCATAATAAAAATGCATTTTGAGTTAAGAAGTACAGGCTGGGTACGGTGGCTCAAGTCTGTAATCCCAGCACTTTGGGAAGCTGGGGTGAGGGGATTTCTGAATCTACAGGCTCAAGAACAGCCTGGGCAACTTGGCGAGACCTCATCTCTACAATAAATCAAAAAATTAGCTGGGCTTGGTAGTGTGTGCCTGTAGTTCCAGCTACTTGGAAGGCTGAGGTGGAAGGATAGCCTGAGCCCAGCAGGTCAACGCTGGGGTGGCCATGAGAATGCCACCACACTCCTGCCTAGGAGATCGAGTGAGACTTCAACTCAAAAAAAAAAAAAAAAAAAAAAAGAAAAAGTACAAGTAATGGGCTCAGTTTGTATATTTAATTAGGAATTCTTTCAATTTGTTTAAAATTCAGGCTTAGTCATAATTCTTTTATTCATTTACTTCACAAATATTTATGGCACATCTGTTATGCCAAGTACTAAAAGTACAGTGGTGAAAAAGAGAAGTGCATACTACCTTTTAAAAATAGACTGCATGTTAGTCAATTAATTACACAATTTATCAGTAAATTGTAATTACAATACATATTAGGAAGTTGAAGTAGGATAACATCAAGTCTGAAGTGAGGCATAGGGTCTCAAGGAATCCTTTCTTATAGAGGAATATTTAAAGCTTCTAATCCCGATTGATCTAAAAAACGAAGGCAGGGGGAGAAGTTTCTTTCTTTGTCGCCTCGTTGGAAAGTGATTATACAATTAGACACTAACATACTTGAAATTCCATACTTACATTTTCCCCAAGGTGTAACAAAGAATGTAAAGTTGTTGAAGAGGAATGAGAGCAAAGCCAGGGACCTGCTGACCTGTGAGAAAGTCCTTCAAATGGTGTGTGCTCCTGATACTCCCCAGTGGCATAACCCTAAATTGTTATTGTTGTCCGTTGTCCTTCTGAATAAACAAACAAACATTTCTGTGATGGGATGCTGCGCGAAAGAACAGAGAGGAGAGGAAAGACTAAGGACTTATAAGAAACCAGCTTCTATTTTTTTGGACAATTACCATGTGCCAGAAATATTACATGTGTAAAATCTAGCATTTGCAAGAACTTGGCTGCATAGATATTATCACAAATTAAAGACAAGGCAACAGGCCAAAAATCACAGGACTTGCTTGGGGTTACTTAGTAAATACATGACAGATCTGATTAAAATCCAGATCTCTCAAACACTAGACCTAGCACAGGTTTTATATACTTTAGTGCTAGTAGCAGAATATCTACACAGGTGGGAAGTGGAAAGAAACCACAGAAGGTGCAGAGGTATTATAATTATGCTGAAAATGCAAGAACTAAAGGGGCTAACAAATAAAGCTATTTCACATTATCTAAATTTGGAACTGCTTAATTTGATTTATTACTGGGGACTCATAGCTATTTCAACTGCAATTTGCTTTTATTCACCTTCCTCTACCCCACTCCCTCCAGGAATTGGTTCATCAAGAAGCTTAATATATTCTGTAGATATGGGCTGTTGTAGATTTAATTTTGCTCTCAATTATTCATTGTCCCATTACAGATTTATATCACTCCTTCCCTTGCCTTGCTCTCATGTGAGTGAAGTGTATTTTTTCTACTCTTGGCTTTGAACTTGAATGTGTAACTTGGTTTGGAAAACAGATTAGTGACACAAACAGAGAGCAGAAAGGTGCCTGAGTGCTTTTACTTACCCTCTTGTGCTGTAACACTCCACCAAGAGAAGACAAGTCCTGAACAGCTGTTTCCCCATCAGGCTAGCCCCAGAACAAAAGCACTTGGAACAAACTTGAAGTGAACCTGTAGCTAGGAGTCAAGGCCAACCAACCTACAGCCTAAAGGTGAGCATAAATCACATCATCTATAGATCCACAAGTGTGGGAATACATGCTTGTTGTTAAACAATGCAGGGTTTGGGGGATATTTGTTACACAGCAATATTGTACTTTTAGGTGACTGATATAGCCATGATATACACATAAAATTACTGGAAATGCAAAAGAAGAAAAAGTTCTTCCCAATCTTTATTCTTTCTGAGTCATCCAAGACAGGAAGTCAAAAATGAAGGGTCTTGACTAATATGAATTTGAATACATGGCCTGAGCACGTGTGAGAGAACTGTGTCTGAGCACTTATTTGCTGGACTGGGGGTAGCTTCAGGGTAGTGTATGGAGGAGAACCCTGCCAGTGTGAGAGTTCTTCCCCAGCCAGACTCCTAAGCTTAGCCCTAGGAGCCAACAAAAAGTTGCCTGTCAATAGAAATAAGATAAGGAACAAAGGATTAAGGCAATGGTTTTCTTGGCTCTCTACTCTGTAGCCTTACAAATAAGATTAATAAATTGCTAAGCATAGTTTTTAATCTTACTAGTTGACTTCATTTCACTTCCCTAAAGAATGGTATTTTCAGCCAAATAGGGCTTAGGCCTCATTGGATATATCGGTATATCTTTGCTTATGAAGTAAGTCAGAGATTAAAGTCACTGGGACAAAGCACTGAAAAAGAAAGTGCTTGAGGCAATTTTAGTCTCAGTCTAGATCATTGCCTGTTGAAGGATTTACCACAGAAATATATTATTTAGAGTTATGCAGGTGAGGATTTACTGTAATTTTTAATAAAAACACATATGGAGCTTATCATGAAATATGCACATGTGATGTGTCTGACACCCCTAAGGAATTTGGCACTAACACTAAAGCTCTGTTATAGGATGCCAAAGACATTAATAGGAGGTTGTTTACTCTGAGAGCTACAACTCTTTGATTTATACAGTAGACAGCAGAAAATGGCACTTTAGCTCAAAACATTTTCGTGTTGTCCCCAGTTTTAAATCTTTTTCTTGTAGATTTAAACCATTTTCTGACAGATTCCTTCATTTGGCTAACTCTTTTTTAGTGACTCTTTTAGTTCTTGGATTTCGTTCATGGAAAATTATACTAGAACTGGGAGGTTTGTTTTTTTTTTTTTTTGCCACTTGAGCTATGTGAAATATTCATCTCATGATTGTGAGATGAGAAAGATTTCTCAAAAAATGTCTTTATTATGAGCAGATCAACGTTCTAGTTTTTAAAGTATTATACTATATGGCTATATGTGTAGTCAACCAGTGCTATACATCCATTTTGGAAGGTGAGGTGAAAGAAATAATACTTTTGTCAAAAAAAAAAATCCCAGAAACTTTATCTTATTGCCTTCTTACTAGTCCAAACTATGAAACTGCCTTATAACAAAACAATAGTTTTTAATGAGAGCCAGCAGCATGGTTACGATTACATAGTCCGACACTAAAAACCTGTGAGTGATGAAGAGTTGGAAGGTTACAAAATAATGAGGGTAACATTGGGTACAGGAAAAACTGTTCCAGAACCTCAAGAAGCAGGCTAATAAGCCCTCTCCCTGCGATCCTGTCTGTGCCCATGATGCCAGGGTCAAAACCACCTCTGTTCTCACCACCCTGGACCCCTCAGAACCCCCCATGGTCCTGGCAGTCACCTTGATCATAGTCCCCTCTGCCACCACAACGATTATCTCCTTAGTTACCCTCCTCCTGGGCCTTCTGGTTTAGGAGCCTAACACTGGTTGCATTCATTCCTTCAAGAGAAGTTCATGTTCTCACATGTAGGATTAGACCACTTCCAGTCACCAGCTCACTGCTGTCCTCCACTGCCACCACCACCACTGGGAAATCCTACCCAGCTGCCACTACCACCGTCTCCATAGCCTCCATGACCCGTGGATCCTTCTTGTCCTCAGCCTCCATGACCATTGCCACCAACCCGATTGAAATCAGCCCTGCAGGTAGCAAATAAGAATTCTTTCCCATCAAACCAGTCAATAGCTACTTTAGCAGGTCAGTCATCAAAAGAGACTGTTGACTCTTTCTTTAACTTGCCACTTCCCCTGTTTGTGTGCATATTAATCCTGGGCTGTCCTGCTTTCTTATTTGTCTTAAAAACACTAATCTGCTTGAAGTAATCAGCCACAGACTCAATTTGTAACATTCTCGCCCAGGCCATGCATGAAGATGATGTTATTGTATGAATTATTATTTATGGAGTCATGATGTGACTCTTGGTCCTGAAGGCTACCAAATTTATTGAAGCCACCACGGTCACTTCCGCCCATGCCACTTCTACCTCCACGGCCACTTTCACAACCTCTGGGTTCATAACCACTACAACTGAGGTTGTAACCACCGCTACCACTCCTAACACACTCAGATAAATATTCAAGAAGACTGGTTTCAAAATCTTAAAAAGACTCTGCTGCTAGACACCTGGAGCCTCAATATCTGTCTAGTGCATAAAGGATGAAACCAGGGAATGCTATAATTTGCAGGAAATGCCCTCAGTGATAGGATGGCCATCTAGAAATGCATAGCTATCCACTTTTCATTGTCTCACAAGACCGAAAAAAAAAAAATCCTCAATCTAAGTTGGTGTAGACATAGGAGTCAGAGAAATTTTCCAAGTCATTAATGTATCATCAGGTGGAGTGACCTGCTTGGTTTAGATCAGGACCTCTATCCATGGATAAAGAAAGTGGCTCCCACATATAGCGAAAGTTATCTTGATGACTGAGATCTAGCCAAGGACACTCCCAGGTCTAACTAGGTAAATAAAATACACAGTGGAAAACTAAAGTATAGTGTCAGTACTGAACCATAGAGCAAATTAGCCTGCTCCTGAGCAAAGAAAGCATCCTGATAGGATTACCTTCATACATGGACTACTCTGTTTAGGAAAACAGGACTAATTCTAGATTGAATGAATAAATTAGTCTGAAGCTACAAATACTTAACTGCTTTGGCCAGGTTTGGCTTAGGACATGGGTAGGGCTTTACTTGCTAGTTGCAGGTTTTTAGTAGCCATAACTGACCAAACCTGGGGAAAGACAGGTAGCGACACATTGGATTCATATACTAGTTTAACATTAGTCATTGCTATAGTTTAAATGTGTCCCCCAAAACGCATGTGTTGGAAACTTAATCCCCAATGCAACAGTGTTGAGACATGCACTTAATCAGAAGTGATTAGGCCATGCTGTTACTGTGGAATGGGTTCATTATCACAGGAGATGTTTTGTTATAAAAAAGATGAGTTTGGTCTCTTCTCTCTTCTCTCTCTCTCTCTCTCACACCCTCTCACCTTCTGCCATGAGATTATACAGCAAGAAGACCCTTGCCAGATGCTAGCATCTTGATATTAGAATTCCCATCTTTCAGAACTGTGAGAAATAAATTCCTTTTATTTATAAGTTCCCCAGTCGGTGGTATTTTGTTATAGCAGCACAAAACAGACTAACAACAATCATTAGTTTAGCAAATAGTTATACATTCTGTGTGTCTCTATGTGTAAACTAAGGGGTCAAAGAAAAAAGTGGTAGAAAGAGTACAGGCTTCATTTATAGGCCAATTGTATTTAAATTCTGTTTTGTTTTGTTTTGTTTTCATTGCCATTAATTTTCAGAGCTAGTTGATTTGGCTGGTGAATTGCTATAAATTCTGCTTCTAAAAGTTCTCTTTTATGACTTTGAGCAAGTTACAAACCTCTGTGACCTTAGGTGTCTTCATCTGTAAAATTATACAAAAATTTGTGAGCATTAAATGACATAACATGGTAAAGCACCCAGAATGACCTAGCACATAGTAGAAACTCAATAAATGATAAATGTACACTTATGTGGCAACTGAAGACAACATTTCTTTAACCAGGAACCAAGACCTCTGTCCTCATGAAGAGGAAAGTACTGTAGAGCTATGGACAAGCTATGTGAAGTGAACCTCCAGCCCTAAAGACACCCCGAACCTCTTTCTAAATCCAACTAAAATATCACATATGTATTTATCCTGTTTGAAATTCACTGAGCTTTCTAAACCTTTGGATTATAGTTTTTAATCATTTAAAAGCTTTTTTTTTTTTTTTAGAGAATATGTTTCTGTAGATATAGATATACACATTTTTAACCCATTGTCTCTCTCCTCTGCTGTAACACTAATTACACATGTTGGACACTTGATACTGTCTCATACTTCATTGAAGATGTTAGTTTCTTTTAACCTCCTTTTCCTCTCTGTGCTTAAGTTTGGATTTTTTTATTAAGCAGTCTTCACACTCATTAATTATTCTTTCTGTTATGTCCAATCTACTGATATTTCCAATGATTTTTAAATTACAGATATTAATTTCTTTTAGTTCCAGAATTTCCATTTGTTTTTCTATTGTTGTTCTTTTCAATTTACTAATCTGTCCTGGAATTTCTTCTCTCTTAATCAACTGAAACCATATATGAAATTTGAAATATTTATTTTCATTTTTTTTTTGACAGTCTCACTCTGTCACCCAGGCTGGAGTGCAGCAGTATGATTATAGTTCACTGCAGTCTTGAACTACTGGGCTTAAGTGATCCTCCAACCCCAGTCTCCTGAGTAGCTAGGACTACAGGCTGGTACCACCATGCTAGGCTAAATTTTTTTTTTTTTTTGTAGGAATGTGATCTTTCTAAGTTGTCCACTCTGGTCTCAAATTCCTGGCCCCAGGGCTCTTCCCGCCTCCGCTTCCCAAAGTGCTGGGATTATAGGCTCAAACCTGGCTATTTTAAGGTTCTTTTATGAACCAGTGTTGTGGGTCATTTTTTTATTAGTCATTTTTTCTGTTTCTTTACGTTACCAGTTATTTTTAATGGCATTTGGTATATCATAGATGCTATATGTCGAGATCCTAGATTATGCTATATTTCTTTCAACTGTGTTGAAAGACTTTTCTTGAAAAGAAGATAGATGATAAATATCTTAGACTTTGTAGGCCACCTTTAGTTATGATTATTTCTTCCCCTGCCTTTCTTTTTTATTTTCTTCTTTCTCCTCTTTTTACTCTTCTCCTTCCTCCTCTTCCCCTTTTTCCTCCTTTTGTACCCTTTAACGATTAAAAAAATTCTTATCTTGAGGGTCATACAAAAACAGGCCATAGCCTGTAGTTTGCTAACCCTTACTCAATAAAGTTAAGTTTTGTTTTAGCATACAGTTAAATTATAGGCAGGTCACTTTGAACGAATTTGGCTTTAAAGTTTGCTAAATCAAGCCTGTTTTAGTTTTATCTTTAGTTGAAGAGAAAAATCCCTCAGTCCTGGAATGTACCTTTTACTTTCTATATGTAACCTTTCTGGAATTACAGTGGAAAACTCAGAACATTTACCAGGGTCCTCTAATTTTGTTAGACTTGAACGCTAAACTGTTTCTCTGTAGCAGGTAGCAGCTGAAATATATGTTCAGTTCTATCAGCCTTCTGTCTTTCAGCTGTTGTTTTCCCCTGGGTTCCTTGGAGTCTCTCTCTCTATATATATACATGTAGTTGAGGAGTCAGGGACTTGATGGGGATGTTCATACACAACTTTTGAGGCTTTCCTTTCCGTGACTTTATCCTTTCTGAGAAGGAAATCCTTAATTTGACTCCTCGTGCCAATAAGAAGTCAAATTTTCTTATTTTTCTGTTTTGTTTTGAGTTCTAAATTCCAAACATTTCAGAAACCAAAGAGGGCCTCAAGGGAAAACTGTAAACCCAATGTGGTCCCCTAATTTCAAAGATTAAGTCATTGCCAGTGTCTGTCTGCTTTTGGTCACTCTCCAGTGCCTTTATATTATTGTTTTTAAAACACTCTGTACAAAGTTTATAAATATTTTGAGGATGGGTTCAACTGATATAAGATATTCTGTTATTATCAAGCCAGAAGTTTCTGAGATCATAACATTTGAAATTCCATTAAAACCCTTCGAAGGAGTAAAAACCAAATACTGGAAAGAAGCACTGGAAAGATGATGAAGGAGATTAAACAGAGTGTGACCTGCTCTGATCTGTGTTTTAGATTGATCTCTGGTAGAAAGATGGATGATGCTTTGAAAGAAAAGTAAGAACTCAGTGAAGGGAGTCCAGTTAGATGAATAATGCAATAACTCAGTTGAGTGACATCAAGACCTAGAGGTAACTTTAGATAACAAAATATGAACTTGAGCAATATTTGGGAATTACAGTTGGCTGAAATCAGAAGCTAACTAGATGTCAGGGGTGAGATCTAGAATGTATCTCAGACTTTCGTTTTGGTACATAGCAGCAAGAGTAGACGAGACAGGGAACACAGGAGGGTAAACAGGCTTGGGGGCAGATGAGGTGAAGAATTTATTTTTGTCATATGTATGCATTCAGGGTGTCTGTATTGGTAGGACAGATGCCAAACGGTTTACTCAGCATAGTTTGTTATGAATATTTTTAGGAAAAAAAAATAAAACTAGAAACCTCAGTATTTCAAATGTTATATTGGTGACTAAAGCTCACATTTATTATATTCTCCTCTAGTAATGTTGAGATTCTAAAATATAATCCTAGCATATTGATACTGAGTAGGATAGAATTCAAACATATATTTTTATTTTCTTCCATCTTCTGTAACATACATTATACAATGAAATATGACTAGTCTAATAGGAATTTTTGGCGTGTAGCTGATATTCAGTGTCTTTCTCTGATCAATAATATCTTTAGATGTAGAACATGTAATATATATATTTTTAAAGTGCCATATGTAAACACTGACAAGTCCCCTATGCCACAAATAGATTAATATTCTATGTTATTTTAATAAATGTTAGAATGAAGTGTAGCTATGGAAATCCATTAAGATTTTTGTGTTTCAAATGTTTCTATATGAAGAATATATTAATTCTTATGTCTTAGAAAGTATGTCATACAAAATATATACTTTATTATATAATTTAAACTACTTTGAGCTCAAAATTTTTCCAATATGTTACTTTCCTAAATTACGCTAAATAGTTTAATATTTACACACAGATTTTTAAATAGAGTATTAAATATATGAACCTTGGATTTCTTCCCACACATGGGGGTGGCTAACTAAAATCTGAATGAAAATGGTTGTTTCAGTGCTGCTGAGGATGTAAAGAAAAGGGAATTCTTACACGCTGTTGGAGGGAATTAAATTAGTACAGTCATTATGGGAAACAGTATTGTTCTTCAAAAAACAGGTTGTTCTTCAAAAAAACTAAAACAAGAACTCTCATATGATCCAGCAATCCCACTTCTGTATATTTATCCAAAGAAAAAGAAGCTGGTATGTTGAAAAGGTATTTGTACTCCCATGTTTATTGCTGTACTATTCACAATAGCCAACATATGGAATCATCCTAAGTTTCCAATGACAAATGAATAAAGAAAATGTGGTATACTTACACAAAAGAATACTATCAAGCATAAATAATAATATCCTGTTATTCACAGCAACATAGATGAGCCTGAATGACATTGTTAAGTCAACTAGGTCAGGCACTGCAAGAGAAATATTCAAAGAGAGATTCTCACTATGTAGGAGTTAAAAAAGTTGAGCTCGCAGAAGGAGAGAGTAGAATTGTGGTTTTTTAGAGGCTGGGAGAGGTAAGGTGTAGACAAAGATAGTGAGGTTGGTTAATGGATATGAAATAACTTGATGGGAAAAAATTAGTTCTGATGTTCTCTAGCTCTGTCGGATGACTACTGTTCACAATATTTTATAGTACATCTTCAAATAGTGATTAGTGTTCTCAACACAAAAAAATTCTAAATGTTTGAGGTGATGGATATGTTAGTCATCCTGATTTTAACATTACATATTATAAAATATGTATCAAAGTATCACTGTTCTCCATAAATATGTACAATTATGCATTAATTAAAAATTAAATTTTTTAAAAAAGAAAATGGTTGTTTCACAGGTAATACTGTGGATTTAGCTTACAGCTAGAGGTGACTTGAGAAATTAAATGACTTCTCAGCACTGAATGACTTGAAAATACTTATAGAACCATTTAACAAGAAAGGTTCTGAATGTTAAACTATTTTTTAGCCTTTGATGAAAACAAAGCTCTATGCTTAAATTTCTAGCATCATCTTTTTTTTTGAGTTGGAGTTTTACTCTGTCACCCAGGCTGGAGGGCAGTGACACACTCATGGCCACCCCAGCGTCGACCTGCTAGGTGCCAGCGATCCTTCCACCTCAGCCTTCCAAGTAGCAGGAACTAGAGGCATGCTACCATGCCTGGCTCACTTTTTGATTTATTGTAGAGATGAGGTCTCACCAAGTTGCCCGGGCTGGTCTCGAACTCGCGAGCTCAGGCAATCCCCTCACCTCAGCCTCCCAAAGTGCTGGGATTACAGGCTGAGCCTCCGAGCCTGGCTGGAAACATCTTTTCAAGCTATCATCCCTTGATTTACTACTTTCCCCTTTTCTTCAATGTATGTACAGTATTTGACTTACAAAAAATCACCAGACTCCATCCATTTCTCCCTGTCTCCTTCAGCCACTATCCTAGTCCAAATCATGACTACCTTTTATAACCTCTTACCTGGTTGTCTTACATCCTAATTTACCCCTAATCCATTAATCAAATTGTTGTCAGTGACTTTTGTTTTCTAAAAGAAGACCTTCAATGGCTTTCTATTTTTCTTGGGGAAAAACAAAAACAAATTCCTTAACAAGGCCTGCATTTTTTTCCTCAATATGACCTTGGGTTTCAGACTCATCTCATTCTGTTTCACCCTCTTCCTTTGAATTGCAGCCATTCTGAATTTCTGTGAGTTCCATGGTTTCCTACAATGCTGCCATTTGCACAAGCAAATGAATAGTTTGTCAGATGCCTCAAGCCTCATTCTACCTGCTCCTCCTTTTCCTGACTAATTCAAACTCATCTACCCTTCAGGTTTCTTTTAGGTAGCACTTCTTCCAGAAGACCTTTCCTTGACTTTTCTGTGACACTAGAATTTTCCTGATTTTTCTCTGTCATAATACACATCTAACTTTGTCATAATTTCTTCTTTAATTAACTGACTTGATTCCATACTGCCAACTCCATGAGAGCAGGGACAGTGTGTTGCCAGTTTTAGTTGTTTAGTATGTAGTAGATTCGCAATTAATATCTATACAAAAATTCACCCCTCTATTCTAAAAGCTCTGAAAGAAGAAGGCAAACTCTTTACTGTTCTATTATATCTAAAGCCTTAAAGTCAGGAATTAGATTCTTAGGTTTAACTTAAATCACACGTGTACTATTTTAGCCTCTTCTGCATACCCCCCTTGTTTCAATGGAAAAAAGAAAACTTTCTGATATCCCACTATCATTATCTGTTTTAAGTATATCTAAAGAGGCTGAAAATTTTAGGGAAAGTTGTCCGAGTAAGCTGGGGTATCTATATTATTTTCTCCATTGAATAGTTAATCAGCATATTTCAAAAATGTCCATTGAGGATTATGAGCTGGTAAAAAAGCCAAGTCATGATAGACTAGGCTGGGATCTATACCAATGAGATGTCTGTAGTGAAAAATCAGAAACCATTTCTTTTAAAATTCAACACCGAGGACAGCTTTGAAAACAGCAGATGAAGTTGAATGAGAGCAGAGTTTATTAATTCTGAAAGCCACAGTGGTGTTCCAATACTTCCATTCATGGTGATTCAGTCAAGACACCTAGGGGATTTACATTAGTCACATAAAAGTGTCATCACAACTCTTATTTTTGCAATAGGGACTTGAAAAGAACAATTCAGAACAGAAACAGAAATAACAAGATCAATAGAAATATAGTTGGTAAGGTTTGCACAGCTCAGATGGAAAGCCTGCATTTGTAGCTCTGAACTCAGAACTGTTGCAAAATACACAAAACTCTTCACTCTTGTATCATCCTGTTACCAGGAGTTGACTAGTCTGGCTTAGAGCAGTGTGGCATGTGGAAAAATATTAACAAGGATTAGAAATATACATTCAGGGCACAAGGGAGAGGCAAATCCAGGCTATGACTGACACAGATGGTTATTCTGGCCACAGCTGCTTAAGACATTGTATGTACACTGATGAAAAAAGATTGGTATTAAACTTGTGAGCATACAGTTGTTAGATTTTTACGTTATTTTTAATTTGTTATATATTTGTATGCTTGAGAGAATCTTAAAACAACTCAGACTCTATTTTTTTTTTAATTGGAGTCTCACTCTGTTGCCAGGCTGGAGTGCAGTGGCACTCTCATGGCCACTGCAGCCTCGACCTGTTGGGCTCCAGCGGGTCTTTCGCCTCAGCCTTCCAAGTAGCTGGAACTACAGACACATGCTAGCACACCCGGCTTATTTTTGTTTTATTGTAGAGAGGAGGTCTCACCAAATTGCCTAGGCTAGTCTCAAACTCCTGAGCTCAAGCAGTCCTCTTGCCTCCTGACTTTTTTTTGTTTAAGTTTAAAGACATGGGGTTCAATTCAGGGTTAGATACACAAACAGTCATCGTACAGGTGAAGTTTAGGCCTTCCATTGGTCCTCACTTTGCCTGGTTTGGGATCAGGTACCCTTATTAATGTTATTTCCCCACCTGCTCCCTGCAAAGATCCTTTATTGCCAATCTTTTTCATGTTGAGACTATTATCAAAAGATTTCCAGTGTTATGAAAGAAAATTGAAAACTCCAGTCAGTCATCAATTTATTGTGTTCAGTTCATCTAGATATTTCTAAAACTTTCTGAGATTGATTGAACTGTTTCGGTTTTCTTTCAAATATTTATATTTAAATTGATAGTCTTTCAAGTATTTCAGATAGATGGATATGTTTAGCATCTGTACTCCAAACCAGGTGTCAATAAAATATGAAAATGAGAACACATCTTGAAAATTGAATGTGGAAATAAAATTCTAAAGCAATACCCATGGTTCCTACATTTCATCCCTCCCCCAACATGAACATTTCTTTATGGCCAAGCCATCTCTCTGATAGGTGGTGATAAATATTATCAAAGGTAGGAATTTTGGAAAATTTAGGGATATTTCTGTTTTAGTCACAGTTATTCCAATACATAAGGAAGAGAAACCTCTAAATAGTTAAGCAATATGTTCCAATTTTTCCAACTGATGAACAGAATTAAATCCTTATGGAGAAATAAAATGTCCAAAATACATTGGGGTAAATTCTTCATAAGCTTTTTAAATAAATTGTCAGTGAGACCCTACCTCTAAAAATTTGTCTCCTCTAATACATAAACATAATACTGCTCTATACAAGAAAATGGTAGCATATATATAGTTCTTCATTGAAATACCCTGAATTCAGTGAAGAAGGTAGCTATCTGTTTGAAAAATGAAACATTTAGGAAGCAGTGATATATATATTTTTAAACACATTCTTACCTTAGAAAGCTTTGTCATGGTGCTTGTTATGGTGACAGCTGGCAGACATCCTGAATGGACACTATTATCTCTCTGAACCTATGGGGAGGTGACATCCAGCCTCACCTCCCTGAGTTACAAACAAGTTACTTTCAGAGTTGGAGACTAGTGCAGAAGGGGATCTTTTGGCTGAAAATGAATACACTCTGCCAAGTTGTCACAGTTAGGAAGTACTTGTTCCACTTTCTTGTTTTCAGTAGATTTCCTGTTACCACAGAGACCATCTTCATGGGGAATAGTTGAAAGCATGTGAATTAATGGGAGAGGAGCTGCTCACCTTGATATTCAGGTGAACTCTTCTAAGATGCTCTTCCTGTCGCTCAGTAGCTGATTCAAAATATTTTCTGAGCTATTAGATATTCTAGAGCTTTATTTTAACTGTCTTGTTTTATGCAACTTTCATGTCTGTTTTTAGTAGTTCTGAAGAAAAGTATGATATGTAGAGAATACCTCAAAGGTGAGTTTATTACCTTGGAATATTCAAAGAAAAACAAACATATACAGAAGAGTTGATAACAATCCCATTGGAAGTATTCCAGGCAATCAAGAAAGGTGGAACTCTCTCCAAATCATTTTATGAATCTAATGTCGCATTAATACCCAAATCAGGTAAAGATCCAACAAAGAGAGAACTACAGGCCAATATCCTTGATGAACATAGATGCTAAAATTCTCAACAAGATTCTGGCAAACCAGATCCAACAACATATCTCACAAATCATCCATCATGACCAAGTAGGTTTCATCCATGGGATGTAGGACTAGTTCAACATCCACAAGACCAAAAATGTAATTAAATACATCAACAGATGTAAAAACAAAAACCACATGATTATATCATTAGACATGGAAAAAGTTTTCGATAAAAATCCAGCACCCCTTCTTGATAAAAACCCTCAAACATCTAGGCATAGATGGAACACACCTCAAAATAGTAAGAGCCATCTACGAGAAACCTGCAGCCAACATACTGCTAAACAGACAGAAATTGGAAACTTTTCTCCTGAAAATCGTAACAAGTCAAGGAAGCCCACTCTTACCCTTCCTGTTCAACATAGTATTGGAAATCCTAGTTAGAACAATCAGACAAGAGAAGGAAATCCGGGATATACAAATAGGAAAAGAGGAAGTTAAGTCATCCCTCTTTGCAGACAACATGATTCTATACCTCGAAAACCCAAAACAAGCTGTCAAAAACCTCCTTGCACTGATAAAGGACTTTGGCAAAGATTCAAGTTATAAAATAAATATGCAAAAGTCAGTGGCATTCTTATACACCAACAATAAACAAACAGAAACCTAAATAAAAAGCACAATCCCATTCACAATGCCACAAAAAAATGAAATACCTTGGCATCTTCTTAATTAGAGAAGTCAAAGACCTTTACAATGAAAACTAGAAAACACTACTCAAAGAAATCAAAGATGACACAAACAAATGGAAAAAATTTCATGCTCATGGATTGGAAGAATCAACATTGTTAATATGTCCATTCTACCTAAGGCAATCTACAGATTTAATGCAATACCCATCAAATTACCAGCAACATTCTTCTCAGACCTAGAGAAAACAATACAGGAATTCATATGGAAACATAAAGGACCAAGAATAGTCAAATAATCCTCAGCAAAAAACACAAAGCAGGAGGTATCACACTCCCAGACTTTAAACTTTATTATAATGCTACAATAATCAAAACATTCTGGTACTGGTACAAGAACAGGCATATAGACCAATGGAACAGGATAGAGATTCTGGAAGCAAAATCTCAATTTCTCAACCAACTCATCTTCAACAAAGACTCCATCATTAACCAGTGGGGAGAGGAGAACCCATTCAGTAAACAGTGTTGGGAAAACCGGCTGACCATGCAGAAGATTAAAACAAGACCCCTACCTATCATCATACACAAAAATCAACTCTAAATGGATCAACATAAAACCTCAAACTATAAGAACCTTAGAAAATGCAGACGATACCCTATGGAAGTTGGAACTGGCACCAATTACTGATCAAAACCCCAAGTATCCATGCCATAAGAGATAAGATAGACAAGTGGGACCTCATCAAACTGACAAGCTTCTGCAGAGCAAAAGAAATCATCAAAAGAGTGGGGAGACAGCTCACTGACTGGGAAAAAATGTTTGCCAACTGTATATCTGACAAAGGCCTAGCATCTAGGATCTACAAGGAACTCAAATGTGCTGAAAAGAAAAAAAAAAAACAGCCCCAATTCCAAGTGGGCAAAAAATATGAATAGACACTTTTCAAAAGAAGACATACGAGTAGCCAACAGATACATGAAAAAAAATGTTCAGCCTCACTAGTCATCAAAGAAATGCAAATTAAAACCACACTGAGATATCACCCAACTCCAGTCAGGATGGCCATCATCAATAACTCAAAAACAACAGATGCTGGAGAGGATACAGGGAAAAGGGAACACTTCTACACTGTTGATGGTAATATAAACTAGTACAACCTCTGAGGAAAACAGTTGGACGATTTCTAAATGATCTAAAAATTGACCCTCTATATGATCCTGCAATTCCTCTGCTGGGAATATACCCAGAGGAACTCAAATCACTCTATGAAAAAGACACCAGCACATGCATACTTATTGTAGCATTATTTGCAATAGCAAAAACATAGAACCAACGATGCTGTCCATTGAAAGAGGGTTGGATGAAAAAAATGTGGTACATATACATGATATGTACCACATTTACACAGCCATAAAGAAGGACAAAATTAAGAACTTCACAGCAACTTGGAAGGACTTGGAGTCTGTAATACTGAGTGATCTATCACAGAAACAAAGAACTGAGTGCCACATGTTCTCATTCATAAGTAGACCTTGAGCAATTATCATAATACTATAAGAAAGGGATTGTCAGTAGTTGGGAACTGCTGGAGGAAGGCATGGAATTGTCAGTATTGAGAAACTATCAGGCGGGGGGCACAACTCATCAGCGAGGGTACCTGCATAATAAACATTTGTATATGTAATCCTGAATTGTACCCCACATCTTCAAAATAAAAAAAAAATTTATAAAGAGACCAAAAGAATATAAATTCACAAGTATGGTTGTCATATGTGCCAAATAAAATAAAAGACAAGTGTTAAAAAAAGTGGTGCATATATATGATGAAATATTATGCAGCCATAAAGAAGGACAAAATTATGAACTTCACAACAACTTGGATGGACTTAGAATCTATAATACTCAGTGATCTATCACAGAAACAAAGAACTGAGTATCATGTGTTCTCACTCATAAGCAGACCTTGAACAATGATCATAATACTATAAGAAAGGAATTGGCAGTGGTGAGAAAACTGCCAGGGGAGGCAGGGGTGGGATTGGCAGTAGTGGGAAACTTCCAGGAGTGGGGCACACCTCATCAACAAGGGTACCTTAACGTAATAAACATTTGTATACCTAACCTTGAATTGTACCCCACATTGTTAAAATTAAAAGTTTTAAAAGATAAACAAAAGGAGAAAATAAAATATACATAACCTTTAAAAAAACATAGAGAAGGGGATAAATATTTATGCTCCATTTACTGATCACTAATCGTGCCTGATGAGTAGAAGCCTGAAATTCCTGACATTTGGATTATGAACTTTGGGTTCCCCAGAGAAAGTCTGATAACGTATTTTTCTTTTTAATTATGTTTGGGTCACAGATCCGTTTTTGAGATGATAAATATGATCAATCCTCTCCTCAGAAAGATACACACACACACACACACACACACACACACACACAAATTCTGATACAACTCAGAGTGATCCCTTAAAATTCATGGTGGGTTCCAGATTAGAAATATATGCCATCAAGTATATAAAAAAATGAAAGGGTATAATTCAATCTTGTAGCATAGCTATTCTGCTTGGATAGTTAAAGACTATAATGTAGGCTGAACTTCAGAAAATATGAGCCTCTATATGAATTTTCTTGGGCTGTCATAACAAAACATCCTACACTGGGTAGCTTAACAACAGAAATTTATTTTCTTATAATTTGGAGCCTGGAAGCTCAGATCAAGGCACCATATTCTGGTGAGGGTTCTCCTGCTGGCTTTTAGAAGATGCCTGGTTGCTATGTCTTTGCAGGGAGCAGAAAGAGATGATAGAGATAGAGACAGAGACAGAGATAGAGGTAGAGATGTGTGTGTGGAGGGGGGAGGGGAGAGAGAGAGAAAGAAAGGGAGAATCAGAGAGCTGCAGCATTGTAACAAGACTACATTTTCTAGAACATGTTGAAGTTATTTTTTGCCTCCTAAAGAAATATATTGAAAAAACTTGGTTCTTTAAATCTAAACTTTGATAATGTATATAATCAAAATCCAAGAACTACTTGTGATTAGTAATAAGGTGCCTAAATTAAGAAGAGGATGGCCTAGTACAGAGTAGACTGTGTGGTACTAGAAGAAAGCAGTTTACACAAATGAGATGAGTTCAGAATTATTTTCTTGGCCTCAGTGGTCAAGACTTATCAGTACTTTCTTTTTTTAATAAAAAAATTTTTGTTTTAATAAATCAATATTTTTTATTATGATGTTGTGGGGTACAGTTAAGGGTTAGATATACAAGTACGTTTCATTCAGGCACTCTGTTGATAAGAGGTGTTTCCCGGTCCCCAGACAGATATTTGCTACCGTTAATTCCATCTCCCTCCCCCACCATAGTTTCCCACTACTGTCAGTCATTTTCTTAAAGTATTACATTGGATCTTCAAGGTCTGTTATATGAGTGAGAACATGTGATACTCGGATCTTTGTTTCTGTGAGAGGTCACTCAGTATTATAGACTCTAGTTCCATCCAGGTTGCTGTGAAATTCATGATTTTGTTCTTTTTTATGGCTGCATAGTATTCCATCGTGTATATGTACCACATTTTTTTAATCCAGTCCTTTTTTATGGGCAACAATAGCAAGAACCTATCAGCAATTTCTTAGGCAGGTATTGA